TGATTATATGATATTGGGCCATTGGAAATGCCAAATGTTTGGACTAGACTAAGTAGTTGGGCCTTTGATTATGACCATGTAAAGATTTGGGCCCAAATGGGAAAATTGGGCCATATGTTGGGCTTTGATTCCTAGTTTGACTTTTGGTTCTTTGGATTGGGCCTTATGCTTGAATCAAGCCAAGATGGGGTAATGTAGCCTCTTACTCCAAGAATTTGTGGTTATGTGTTGGGAACCAATTATTAATTGGGTGATGTTTTGATATTGATAGTTCGGGAATCTGACATCCAACAGTTGGGAGTGTGACTACGGGACTTTAGTATTTTGAGGTGAGTTATCCTCACTATATCAATAGGGTCTAAGGCACCAAGGCTGACCCTTATGGATTGTATCTGGTTATGGCATGATATGTTTATTGATTACTTCCTGGTAGTTGGGATGGTGATATGTTTATGCTTAGTGACCTGGTTAGGTCAATGTCCTGGTTATAGGATGATGTTATGCTAGTGACCGGTAAGGTATGTATCTCGATTTTTGGGATGTTGCTATGATTAGTGATCTATTAGATCGATTTGACTGTAACATGATATGAGCTAGCGTATGATATTATGTTCACATTTTTGTTTGATTGGGGGTTGGGTTGAGGCGGTCCTTCTTTGTGATGTAGGCCAACATACCCGACGAGCGGTCCGGATAGATTGTAGGCCCTGTGAGGTGGTCCAGTCATGCCGAAGGCTCGGGAGCGATACATATAGGTTGTAGGCCCTGTGAGGCGGTCCGGTCAGGCTGAAGGCTCAGTATACATGTTGTTCTGTATTTGTTATATGATATGGTTATATTTGTATGACGTTAGTATTTTGGGGAACTCACTAAGCTTCGGGCTTAGAGTTATTGATTATGTTTTTGGTACTTCTGATGATCGTGGGAAGGCGAATGCATGATCGTGCACCTCCTCATATTTTCATGAATTGATTATGGGGATACTCTGATGCTTAAACTATTTTAAAAACAAATTGTACTAGTGTAATGGTTTTTAATGTTTTAAAAAGTTTTAAATTGGCTTGAATTTTATGGATGTTACACAACCAAAGACTCGAAGGATCGAGTAATAAGGTGGGCGTTTAACAACATGTTGGAATGGAGACTCGTTGTGGGAGGTGAGGGAAGGCATCCGATTGATGAGGTAAACGGTTGTTTCAAAGGAAAAATGCCAAAAGCGTTGAGGAATGTTGGATTGTGACATTAATGTAAGACCTATCTCGAAGACATGTCAGTGTCGTCGCTTAACAAAGCCATTTTGAGCACTAGTATGGGGGCATGATCGTTGATGAACACTGTCGAGTGACGCAAGGAAAGATGAGGTGTTGCGAAATTCAGCACCCCAATCAGTTTGAACTTTCTTTAATTTTGTAGAAAATTACCGTTCAGCTGTGGTGACAAATGTTTTGAAAAGACTGTAAACATCATAAGCATCATATATCTAGTATGATGACCAACGCACAATAAAAAGTAACGATGGCCATCTGATGAAAGAACGGGAGAAGGACCCCAAACATCACAATAAACAAGATCTAATATGTTATTGCTTCGAAAAGAAGAGACATTTAAAGACAATTTGATGATTTGCCTAGTTGACATGAAGAAAAAAAACTTGGTAAATTTTATTTGTAACAGGAAGCGAAAAATAGAAAGCATAAATGAAAGAGACGTTGGTGTGGATTCCCAAGTTGTCTATGCCAAGTTGTGGAAGATGCACGAGTTGCAGAGAAAACTTGGTGAGGAGTGGATTGAAGTTGTATCAGACGGAGGGTATGGAGACCTTCCTCACTGGGGCCTATTAGAAGTATAGTGTGTGTAAGCCCGTACTTAACAACAAAAAAAGTAGAGTGAAATTCAAAGAAAATATTATTGTCAATGAAAAATTGTTGGACAAAAATTAGATGCTTTGTGATGTTGGGTACATGAAGAATTTTTGAGAGATGAAACGTTTTATTTGGTGAGTGAAAGTGTGATGAACCAATATGAAGAATAAGGAGTCCTTTACCATCACCAACATGAAGGTTGTCATGGCCATGATATGTGTGATTGTCATCCATGCTTGCTAGATTCGGTGTGATATGGTTGTTGGCACCGGTGTCGGGATACCAAGTGGATGATGTGGATGGTATGAAGGCGGAGCTTTCAACAAAGTTGGTTGTGGGCTTGTTGAGGATTGTGGAGGGATCACGGTTGGGGCACTGAGATGGTAAGTGACCAATACCACAACGGTTGCATGTGCCAAAAACAGTATTCTGGTTGGAGGCCCAGCTAAAGGAGTGAGTACTATCACCAAAATTGTTGTTACTACGACTGTTGTTGTTGCCACGGTAAGAGCTACATCTCCCTCGGTTGTTTCCACGGTTGTAGGGGGGTTCGAGAACCATATAAAGCTTGAGAGGTGGCTGATAGTGTGCTTGAGGGTGATATTGGTTAATTTGGAGACCAAGAGCATAAGCTATAGATACTAGTAAGCAGTGAGAGAAGCCATCAAATCATTGGTGTGTTTGGTTGGTGCTTGAATGGCATGAAAGGATTGAATAGAAGGGTGCCAAAATTTTGCAATCATAAAGTCATGATCACTTAATAATGCATGAAGTTCAGTGAAGGTAGTGGGATATTGGCGGGCGGTGATGGCGGACTCGAGACCGTTGTATTCATCTCGAAGACCAGAAACTGCAAGCATGACAAGGTCTTTATCCTTGATTGGTTCACCAATGGCGGTTAGGGTTTCAACATATTCTTGTGCTCGGTTAAGGTAGGCATCAGGAGTCTCATCTCCTTTCATCTCAATCCGCAAGAGTTGACTTTTTAAAGTGTATTCTCTAGAAGATGAATGTGGTGTAAAGGCACGTTCTAGAGAGGGCCTCAGATCATAAGAAGTGTCACCTTGTACTTGACGGAAGGTTGATTCAGATATGGTAGTGATAATCAGCATGCGGATGTGTGCATCATTGGTGATCCAAATCGAGTAATTTGGATTGTCTCGTTGTTCGAGATTGGGATTAGTAGCAGTGGCAACAACATGTAGGAGTTGTTTGGGTGGGCATGGAATTGTGCCATCCACATAATCGAACAACTTGTGTGCAAGAAGAAAACGATGTATCATATTCTTCCAGTAGACATAGTTGGTTGGTGTGAGGTTGAAGGCAAACTTGTGGGAGTAGTGGGATTTATTTTCATCGGCTGAGAAGGAAGTGAGAGCCATGATCGCTGAGAAGGATGTTGAAGAAGATCGATGCTAACCCTAGCTGTAGAAGCAAAAACCTAACTTTTTTTGGATTGAATGGGGAGCAAGATACCTTCGACTCTGATACCATAAAGAGCCGAGAATTTAATATTGTGTTGATCAAATGTATTAGGGTTACATTGACATCTATATATAATACTAACAATTACATATTAGTACCCTCTAGTCTATATTACTGTAATTATGTCTAATAATTGGAATGATAATAAGATTTATACTAATCTTCCATAGAAATTGTCCTCCCAAATCGGGAGGAATCAGAGAGATAGGAAAGGAAGTTCATTATCTTTCTTTTCTTTTCTCTCGTTTTTTCTTTCTTTGGTGAACTCGGAAGCAGAGCATTAAGGCTATAACCAAATGTTTAGCGAATCGTTAAACAAAAAGTTTGTTTATGGGAGCTTATTTATACACACCATTTTTTTTTCATACACAACATTTGTGCATTAAAGTGTTATACTGTACAACTCTATAAAACATAAATAGTTGTGTAAGGAAAAAATTGTTGTGTACGAATCACTTTCATTTATTTATGTTTATTTATTTATTAAAGTGACCAATATTTTTTATTTGTTTAATTAAACAAATGAACACGAACAATGGTCTCATTTGTTCATTTACGTTCGTTACTACTCGTTCGTTTATGTCCGATCGTTTAAGTTCGTTCATCTACATTCATTTATGTTCAGTTATTATATTGTCTTACATATAACATTATTAAAATGATGGGAGTGAAATTAGAGTTTCCAAGACTGACTTAAAAAAACTGTAATCCGCACCATCTGATGGCCCATATCAACCTGTCCTAAGGTCAACGTAGGTGGTCAAATGCAAAACACTAACAATATTTTGAGTCTGTCAGAGTTTGAGGGTTTGATTTAGATGTTTATGTTCATTTATATTCATTTATGTTCATATATGTCCGTTTAGTATGTTAACGAACATAAAAAAATGAATACAAAAAACGTTATTTGTTAAACGAACGAAAGGACAAGAGAATTCGTTTTTTAGTTGTTTGTGTTCTTTTGTTTGTTTGGTTTTAACTTAAACGAACGAACATGAAAAAACTCTTGTTCGTGTTTGTTCAGTTCGTTTACAGACTATTCATACGGTAGAATGAGTATAGTACAAAATTTTATGATCGATTGAAGAATTGCAACTCGTTGGGACTAGATGAAACCTCCTGAGAGATAATAATTTTTCAAATAACCTTGAGCAGCCTTTTTAAGACCATACATGGCTTTTCAATGGATGATCAACTCTTTTGGAGATCGCATGTAAATTTTCTTAGGAAGACTCCTGTTGAGAAAAACATTTTGAAGTCCATTTGATACAAGGACCAACAATGAGCAACAACAATAGATAGTAAACTATGAATCAAAGTAATACAAGAAACCACAACAAAAGTCTCCTCATAGTCGATTCTATAAACCTAGCTAAATCCTCTAGCAACAAGACATGATCGAGTTTTATCTTTGTAGACCCATGTGGAACATCTCTGGAATATAAATCTGTTTAGATCCAAGATCCATTAGCTTTTAGCCTTTGTTTCCTATTCAAGTATTCAACAACCAAAGAAAACGCAGGTTCTTGAATGTTTTAAGACATAGTTTGGCGGATGATGTTCTTTTAGCATAAAAAATTTCCGAGCCTCGGATCATATTCTCCCATATGACACATCCATGACACAATAAGATAAATTAAGTGACATCACCAGTCACCAATAGTCTTTACATGAACAACTCCCACCCTCAAAACAATGAAATCTACTCGAATCCCTAACAACAATTTTCCTACTTTCAATTTTAGAGATGTATTGAATAGCAGTATGACAATCAACACAAGTCCTCAAATTCTTAAACACTTTTATCATTGTTCCTGGTGGAGTAACAAGAATCGCAAATGCAATAGCCAATTTCTCACTATGATACGATAAATTTTCCTCCTTTTGTTCCTCTTCTACATCATGAAGCACATGATCTATCTTAGGAACATATCCTTCTTCCCTCATCTTCTTCTGCAACTCCCCTAACAACCCATGAATCTCCTTCAATCTTGGATTTGATGTATCTCCCATCAAAAAAGTATACACCTTTCTCTTAATTTCAGTCCAACTTCTTCCAGGTTTCTTCACAACCCGATTTACATCCATCATCTTTCTAATTTCTGCAACTTCACCCCATTTTCCAGCAGCAGCATAGATGTTGGAGAGTGTGACATAAGTGGCTGCATTTTCAGGCTCTATTTTGAACAATACTTTTGCTGCTTGTTTAGCCAAATCAAGATTCCCATGAATCCCACATCCAGCAAGAACAGAACCCCATAAAAACTTATCCGGTTTCATGGGCATTTTCTTGATTATCTCTTCAGCTTCTATAAACCTCCCAGATCGACTAAGCAAATCAACAACACAAGCATAATGATCAATGGTATAATCCAACCCATGTTTTTGTTTTATGGAATTAAAGTATTCAACCCCTTTATCAACCAAACCTGAATGCGTACAAGCCGAAAGAACCCCAACAAAGGTGATGTGATCAGGTTTAATTCCAGTATCAAGTAATGAATCGAATAGCTTCAAAGCTTCTTGAGGTTTCCCATTTTGGGCATACCCGTTGATCAAAGAAGTCCATGAAGCTAAATCTGGTTTTGGTATCCACTTAAAGACCTTATCTGCAACCTCCATGTTCCCACATTTGCAGTACATATGAACAAGGGCACTTGCTGCAAAAGAAGATTGGTTAAAACCAATGCGTGTCATATACCCATGTATTTGTTTGCCTAAACTTTCTGTGTTATGATGTGCACAAGCATCTAATATCCCTGCAAATGTGAAGTCGTTAGGTTTGTTCCCAGATTTTAACAAATCTGAAAACAAGAGGAACCCTTGTTCCCTTTTCCCATGTTTGAAATACCGATCAATCATTGATGTCCATGTAACAACGTCTCTATCTGAAGTTTTGTCAAATATGTGTCTAGCTTCATCCAAACTCCCACAATTCCCATACATATCTGATAAAGCACTCCAAACAGCTGCATCAGAATCTATACCTGTACGCATAATATGACCATGGATTTCCTTTCCAATGATTAAGCTTTGAGTTGCTGACGAAGCTGCAAGCGCACTACAAACTGTGAACTTGTTGAGCTTGACATTATAGTCTTGCAGCATTGTTCTACACAGCTGTAATGCATCGTTGGGAAGATCATGGCGAACATATCCTGAAATTATTGCATTCCAAGAAAAATTGTCTCTTTCAGGCATTTCATCGAACAGGTTACGAGCATCTTTTAGCCGTCCAGCTTTTGCATACCCTGATACCATAGTATTCCAAGAACACACATCCTTCTCTTGCATTTCGTCGAACACTATACGTGCATCCACAAGACTACCACATTTACAGTAGCAGTCTATAATTCGATTTAAATTCGATGCCCCCGGGAAAAAACCGGATCTTTTTATGTGGGAGTAGACTCTTTTGGTGGCTTCGACGGCTCTCTGTTGAAGACAAAGCTTAAGAAGGTTAGAATACACTAATGGAGAAGGAGGTTTCATATGATCAAGTACTTGAATTGCTTCTGTTAAACGGTGTCGTTCACATAGATTAATTATAGCTTCTTCATGTTTGTTTTCTCGGCATAGTCTTTTAACGAGATTATCTTCACTGTTTTGGGATTTGAAGAAAGTTTTTTCAAGATTAGGGGTTTTCAAAAAGGTTTCAGAAGAAGTGGATATAGCTCGTTCGCTACAGCCAATGAAAGCTTGAAAATGGCCTCTCGTCAATCTCATGATTTCGTATTGCAATCTCGGCCAAACCGATGGTGTCTAGATCAGAGAAGAAAGACCCTGTAGTCTGTACTCTCTGTACAACGTTTTGTATTGGTTTCGAAAAGAAACCAAGCCCGAATTTTGGATGGTGGGTTGGGTTGTCGCATCTAGGGGTGTAAATGCCCGAACCCAACATCATATATGTAATTTTGAGTAAACGATGCGAAATGGTTTTATCTTCTATTTTAGTTTATATGTTTTGATTAAATAGGAATGGCCCAACATACCCCCACGCAAAACCTATCCCGTCTATGATAGTTTAATTAATGTTTGGGATAATGACTTGAAAGGGTAACGAACTTTCGATATTTGTCACATTTAGTCATTAAACTTTTTTTCGTTATCTATTTGCCATTGAACTATTGAAACTGTTCACATTTTACCCTTATGACCGGCTGTTGTCGGTCATAAGGGTAAAATGTGAACAGTTTCAATAGTTCAATGACAAATAGATAACGAAAAAAAGTTTAGTGACTAAATATGAACAAAATCGAAAGTTCGTTTCCCTCTATAAAGTTCAATGACTAAATGTGAACAAACTTCCTCTTGTATTATGTTTTAGCAAATTATTTATTTTTGTTAAATTGTAGCAACATTTGTTGATGAAGAAATCTATGAAAAAAAAAAACAAAACCCTGAAAATATATTTAAAAAAAACAAAACCGAAATAAAAAACCAATGGTTTGACGTTTTCCAAAATAAAAAATCAAAATTTCCAATCTGATTTTGGTTTTACAAAAAAATGAACCATTCTCACTAATGTGAATTATGACCATTGGTTTGGCATGCGAAATTTGTGACATCCTATGAATATGTAGTTACAACATCGTCTGAACTCGTAATTCATAGTAAGGGGTTAGAGTATCATCGCATGAATACGTAGTTACAACATCGCTTGAACTCGTAATTCATCACCTACAGGTTATGGGTCTGTTGGTGTTTCCACTGGGTTGTCTAGAATGGTACGTGGTCGCCATCTATACTCTGGTAGATGACTACATCGCCACATTGCTGGTTAAGGTTATGGTATCTTCTTTCATCCTACATCACATATTCATCATCATCTATTTACCGAATTATCATCACCTTTCTATCATCACCTATCTCTCATCATTTTATTTCATCACACACCAACTATTTCATCTACCCATGTTTCATTCGCAACATATTTGTAGATATAAAATAAATATACGGTTTAAATCTTTTAAAACATGTATAAAATCGTTCATCCAGCATAGACAACAAGTATTCAAATAATATGCACACGTAGCACGTAATTTATATAAAATACTTCATATCTATGTGTAAGATGAAATTAACTATATATACCATAAAAATCCAATAAATGCTTCCTAACTTCGAACCCCAAGGTTTACTCTACTAAAACTTAATATTCTCGGCTCTCTAGACCTAGAAGGGTCCAGATGTATCACACCAAAAAGCTCAAGATAGCTCTTCCTCTCACTCTACACACTCAAGCTTGCTAGGGTTCTTACTTATGGGAAAGGTAGTCGCAATTGAAGGCCATAAGTGCCTTTAAATATGGCTTGGGCCCAAAGATTTAGGGTTTCTGCCAACAGCGCGGACTCGTCGAGTCGCCTCACCGACTCGTCGAGTCCATTCATTAATCCGAGTCATCAGTCGCGACCTTACTCGACGAGTTGAGGCGTCAACTTGTCGAGTCTCTCTTCTTAACTCAAAAAAAATACTTAAATTATGATACCTGGAAATCCGGATGTTACATTTTGTTTTTTTATTTTCCTACATTTCTTCATCAACAAATGTTGCTACAATTAAACAAAAATAAATAATTTTGCTAAAACATAATACAATAGGAAGTTTGTTCACATTTAGTCATTGAACTTTTTAGACGGAAACGAACTTTCGATTTTGTTCACATTTAGTCACTAAGCTTTTTTTCATTATCTATTTGCCACTAAACTATTGAAACTGTTCATATTTTACCCTTATGACCGGTAACAGCCGGTCATAAGGGTAAAATGTGAACAGTTTCAATAGTTCAATGGCAAATAGATAACGAAAAAAAGTTTAGTGACTAAATGTGACAAAAGTCAAAAGTTCGTTACCCTTTCAAGTCATTATCCCTTAATGTTTTTATCGAAGGTGTTGGTCCATTATTTGGATTTTAGAGTGTTACATTATTCCAAGATAGAAGGAAAATGGCATGTATAGCCTACGAATTTTTTAGGGTTGACCTTTTAGTCAATTAAGTTTTTTCGTAGCTTTACGAGGAATCAAGTTGTGAGCAACTTGTTATTTTAGCCCCCTTTACTTGTTTTAACCGGTTTTAGGGACATTAGACAAAACTTGGAACCTCTCTCTCTCTCTCTCTCTCTCTCTCTCTCTCAAAAGAACATATTGGTCAAAACTAGAAATCTTTATTTGGATTCTTGAAAAGTATCAATCATTTTGAAAACATAGTAACAAACGTCCAAACAATCTCTTCCTGAAATCAACACAATTAAACTTGGACTACAAAAACATCTAAAATCAAAACATTACATTATTATTATGCCTAAATCCGATCTTTAGTGTTTTGCGATTCATAGAGAATTATGCACTGTCAAACCAGAAACCAAAAGTTTCCGTTTGCACCACCATTAAAAAATCAAACATCTATAATCCCCTATTTACTGAAAAGGAACCCAAATCCCCATAAGTAATCAAAAAAATTAAAACCCATATCACCATTTTCAGATCAATTGCAGAGAATGACCCTAGTAAGTGCAAGAACCAAATAAGAAACAATGGGGAAAAACAGAGTAATTTCTTCACAGCTGTACCTTCAACCTTCAAACTTTTAGCCCTTCGATGTGCATCAACTTCCTTTAACAAATCAAACTCCAAACCTTTCTTCTTTAACTCTTCCACAGACTTCCCCAATAACTTCCCATCTTCATTCTCCCTTTCTAGTAATTTCTAATTTCTCCATATACAATTTTGTGTTTGTCTTGGAACGAACGACCCAGATTATTCCCAGAGACAGAGGAACAAACATGGAGAATGGATACATGATTGGTTGCAGGATCCAGATGAAGACGAAGATAAGTTGTTGAAGAGAAGCGTTATGAAATCGAGTGAAACGAGAAGATGAAACAGTAGATGTTAGTGATTTCCTTTTGAACAACATTGATCTGGGTTTCTTTGAGAGTGATTTGATTTAGGATCAGTTCTTCTTCGTGTAGCCATTTAATAAATGGGTTTCTTGAAAATGGTATAGGTAGAATGTGTTTGATTATCATAGGGTACTAGGAAATCACCACTAACTCACTTTTGAGTGTTCTTAAACCGATCAAAGTCGCTTGAAATTCACCGGAAATTGGTTTCTTTGGCAAAGAGCGGTGGCGAGGGATGAGAAAGTGACCGAGAACTCAATTTGGTTTTTTGGTTAAAATAAGAATATATAAAAAGAGAGAGAGAGAGAGAGAGAGAGAGAGAGAGAGAGAGATTTAGATGTTGTGGGACCTTTTAATTTGTTTAATCTATTAAAATATAAAAATAAGTGAGTTGGCGTAGGGGTAACCGGGTTACCCCTTCGTTTTCTCAAAAAGGACATATTGGACCCGACAAAACCAAATTTGTTCCCTTAAAAAGTTAAGCGACTAAAAAAGTAAACCCTAGAAACTTCATAGGGCGTATGTGTCATTTTCCCAAATCTATTTACATTGGTTCTTTGATTTACACTGTAATGTTATAAATAAGAAATGTCAAGGTAGAAAATGTAAAATATAGACTTGTTGTTAAGGAAAAAGTTCAACCACACTCAGTCGTTTTTATCCCTACAATAATTTTAGATGTGTTAATGTCTAATATTTAAAAAAACGTGTTCATTTTTATCATTTAACCTCCTACAGTAGGTCGCCACTACAATTGGGTCTTCGTATTGACTTAGCTGTCATGACAACATTCCTTCTTTACTAAAAAGAAACATCAAATGGAAAGAGAAGTAGGTTGGGAGAATTGAATCCACGATGATCGACATTTACTTGTGTATAGACTGTTGCACCATATCTTATATATTAGCAAAAATACAACAATAAGGAGAAGAAAGGGGGTTGGTGGGTTTTGAACGCGGGACCTTTAATTCTCCAATACAAAGCATTAACAACTAAACTAAACTAATTTAGGCAATGTTTTAAAACCCGGGTCGACCCGGCCGGTTCAACCGGTTGGACCGTGACCCGGGGTAGAAGGCGGGTCAATTGAGAACGGTTTTCTGTAAAAAAAAAACGGACCGGATTGAACCGGTCGGGTTTCCCCTGAACCGCGGTTGGACCGCTTATGTTGAACCGGTTAAAACCGGATTGACCCGTTTTGATAGAGTTTGGATAGTTAGATACAAGTAGCGAACACCAAAACAACGAGTTGTTTACGGTTTCTTCAATGATTTTCAATATTTAAACTTTGTGAACATAAAATTATTGGTTCTATATGTTTATGCATTATAGTGGAAAGTAAAAAGATATAAAAATAGAAAAAGACCATAAACCGGGTTGACCCGGCGGTTCGACCGGTTGACCCGTGAACCGATCATCACACCGAGTCAACTAAAAACCCGGGTTTTAAAACATTAAATATAGGTGTCTTAAAGCCTAAATTTTTTTTACATTATATGTATTATTTTGGAAAAATTAAATAATATATATATATATATATATATATATATATATATATATATATATATATATATATATTTATTTATTTATTTATTTATTTATTTATTTATATCTTTAAATCGTATTTATACCATTAAAATATATAAAGATGCTTCATAATGTATAAATAAGTTTGTAAAAGTATATAAATATAAGTGAACATATTGATTAATTTTTATAAAAATGTACACATATTTATATGCATTTTTATGTACTTATATATTTTAAAAATGTATTTATATGTATTTATACATATAATATGTATTTCTATATATGTATACATTT